ATGAAAATCTAATATTATCTAATATTATCTAATATTATCTAATATTATCTTATTCTTGTTCTGCAAAATGTCTTAAACAGATATGTCCAAAAGATATTTTAAAAAAGATGTCTTTATAGGATTTGACTAAAAGTCGTCTTTAAGATATTTTTTTGTAAAATCTTAAAGTCGTCCTGGAAAGGACGTCCAAAAGACGTCTTAAAAAAGAATTCTTTAGGATTTGGCTAAAAGTTATCTTAAAGGTGTCTTTTTGTAAACGTCTTAAAGTCGTCTTTTTTAAGACGTCTTTCGGATTGTCTGTTAGACATTCATGTTCACTGGGTACCTACATATAAGTAAAACAGATTACAATAAAATATTACAGTTTTCTAGAAAATAACTGCAATAAACATACATAAAGTATATTTTCTATGTTGAATATGTACCACGAAAAGTAACTAATAGATCATTCAAGGTGCAAATTCAAAATGAACATACATACATATAAAGGTGCTTTTTCATGCGCAGCACGCTGCAGCAGCAATTCGTTACTATTGGTTAAGAATTTTATGTAAGCTAGATGACGCACTTCCGGCGCAAAATACATTTTGCCGCAGTTCGTTGAAGTTGAACCGAACGAACAGCAAGCGGCAAAATCGAGGCAATATTATTTATTGCAATAAATATTAGGAAAATTAACGAAGAATGGCTTCGGATAAGGTACGAATGTTTGTAAATTAGATCATTTTATACTTTACACTTTACTTTTTCAAATTTGTGGTAAAGTATAAAATGATCTAATTTACAAACATGTATCCGTACCTTATCCGAAGCCATTTTTCGTTTATTTTCCTAATATTTATTGCAATAAATAATATTTTTATAATGAAACGACGGACATATTGTACGCTTTCTCGATTTTGCCGCTTGCTGCTTGCTGTTCGTTCGGTTCAACTTCAACGAACTGCGGCAAAATGTATTTGCGCCGAAAGTACGTCATCTAGCTTACATAAAATTCTTAACTGATAGACCTTTACTGGTATTATATATGTGAGAAAGGAAGAGAAGGGTTACTGTAATAAACTTTTCTTCTCTTCTAAATGAAACTATTTATTAATGTAACTTTTCACGTGCGCACGGTATGTACAATGTATAAAGAAGAAGTGTGGAAGAAGTGAAAAGGGAATTTCCGTTTACATGCTAGTGCCCTCTCCCTTGGGACCTTCCCGTTTTCCGCCAATCACCATCTGCGCATCTTTCTCGCGTCGCCAATGTTAACGCGATGAACCGATTGTCTCAACACTACCGCCGTTTGAGCGCTTACATTGGATCGAAACTATATTTATTATTTCACATAACTTCCGAAAACGATCTCTCGGCAATGCCTTCGTAAGAATGTCGGCTCGCTGCAATTCCGACGGTACATATGATACCATTATCTCTTTGTTCTCAAATTTTTCGCGTATATAGTGATACCGTATGTCGATATGTTTTGTACGCTTGTGATAAACAGGATTATTCACCAAGCGTATCGCACTTTGGTTATCAACGAACAATTTTAATTCACGATCACATGAATATCCTAAATCGCTGATTAGCTTACGAAGCCACACAGCTTCTTTAGTTGCTATCGCAGCAGCCACGTATTCTGCCTCAGTTGTGCTTAACACGACTAGTTTTTATCTTTGAGAAGACCACGACACTGGTCCGTTTGCCATACAGAATATATATCCCGTCGTTGACCTGCGCGTCTCAACGTCATTCGCATAATCCGCGTCGGAAAAACCTACAAGCTCTTTCGTGCTACCGCCGCTTTTGTACTGCAATCCGTAATCTTTCGTTCCTCCGAGATAAGCAAAAATTCGTTTAACTACGCGCCAGTGTTCGACACTGTGTTTGTTTAGGAATTTACTCAAGGAACTTACAGCAAATGCAATGTCTGGGCGAGACACTGCTGCACGATACGGCACGATACTTAACGGTTCATCGTTCTCTTCGACAGGATACAAAGTTACGTGCGGATCAAACGGTACACTAATCGGCTTTGCTTCTCGCATCCTGAATTTTTCTAAAATTTTCTCGACGTACGCGGTTTGATGAATCGCGAGTGACTTATCCTCTCGATTTCTCTCGATTTGCATTCCAACAAAACAGCTCGAATCTTCGATTTTTATTTTAAATGCTTCGCGCAGTTTACTCGCAATATAATTCAATGTATCTTTTGTTTCCGCTGCGACAAGACCATCGTCTACAAAAAGTGCTAAATAGACTGTTTCCCCGTTCACTTGCCCGACAAAAACGCATTGATCAGCTTGACTGCACTTTAGGTTGAACTGGCTTAAAATTTTGAGGAATTTCTTATTCCAGCACCGAGGTGCTTGCTTAAGCCCATACAGAGACTTGTTCAATTTACATATCTTTTCCACTCTCTCACTTCCGTTGACTACCAGACCCTCCGGAATTTCCATGAATATATCTTCCTCCAATTCACCGTAAAGGAACGCTGTTTGAACGTCGAATTGTAACAGTTCGAGATCCTTCTCGGTAACTGTCGCCAGAAGTACACGGAGCGAGTCGTATCGCACGACTGGTGCAAATGTCTCCGTGTAGTCAATTCCGCGTTGTTGTAGAAATCCCCGTGCGCATAGCCTTGCCTTGAATCGCTGAGTTCCTTTTTCGTGATCCTCCTTAACTCGAAACACCCACTTGGAATCGATTGTTTTTGTTTTAGGTGTTATCGACACAATTGTCCATGTTTTGTTTGTTTCGTGTGCCCGAAGCTCTTCGTCGATAGCGTGTGCCCACTGCGCAGCATCGTCGCTTCGAACAGCTTCCTCGTACGAATTTGGCGTTACATACTCGGCGACATCGACCTCGTATTCGTATCTGGAGGGCTTACGAAGTGTGCCCCGCTTCCTTAAAACTCGCTCTTCGTTTAACACTTGTTGTTCTTCTTTTTCTGTATCTTCGTGACCTTGGTTCCCGATTTCTCGTACTTCCTCTTGCTGCTGAGCTTCGCGCTCGTCCAAAACTTCGCTTTGCGGAGCTGCTATTTTTCTTTCTCTACCTCGTTCCTCGTTTTTCACTGTTTGAAACATTATCGTCTCGAATCCGTCATCTACCTCGTCGATTTCTACCTTGCCGATTATCTCGTGAAATGTCACATCTCTTGTGATGCTGACTCGCTTCGTCATTGGATCATAGACACGATAATTTGGAGAGTCACCTTCATATCCGACCAGAATCATTCTTCGACCCTGTAAATCGAACTTCTTGGTGAACTGTTTTGGCGTGTTTACAAACGCCACTGAGCCGAAAATCCTGAGATGACTTATTGTAGGTTTCTTCCCTACCCATTTCTCATATGGCGTGGAAGATCCGCCCGACGACACTGTTCGATTTAACACGTACACGGCAGTGTTGGTAGCCTCGGCCCACAAGGATAGCGGTAGATTCTTTGCGTGGATCATTGTCCGAGCGCTCTCAACAATCGTTCGGTTCTCTCTCTCCGTTTTGCCGTTTTGCTGCGACGTATACGGCGCCGTGTACTCTTTTTTGATGCCTCGCGCTTCAAGATATTCATCCATTTGTTTATTTCGGTATTCCTTCCCATTGTCCGATCGCAAGATTTTTATTGGACATCCGAACTTGTTCGCGATTAATTTTTCGAAAACTTTAAACTTCTCGAAAACGTCTGATTTATGTCGCAAGAAGTAAACATGACGATACTTGGTCGCGTCGTCCGTGAACGTTACGAAGTACCTCGCTCCAGCCAGAGATTGGACAGGCATACGTCAGTATGGAACACTTCTCCCGGTTTCGTCGATACTTTTTCCCGATTTCTGAACGGTAGACGATGCGACTTCCCGAGTCTACACATCTCGCACACGAAATCCGTCGCATCACACATCGACACTCCAACAAGTCCCTTTTTTACGAGCTCACGTATCGCACGTTTGTCTACATGGCCGAGTCGCTCGTGCCACACTCGAAGATTGTACGCCGCCGCGTTCGCTTCTTCCGCATTCGATTTACCAACCCGTAGAGACATTCGGTAAATGTCATTGTCCTGTCTCACACCGGACGCAACAATTTCACTTTCCCGCATAATATTTACATACTTGCTTTGAAGATAACCTCGAAGCCTTTTTTTGTACACGCACCTACGGAAAATAGGTTTTTCTTTAATCCGGGTACGTAAAGAACTCCCTCGATTCGTGCGTTACTCCATAAGCCGCCAACGAGCTTTTTCACGAGCACGTCACCTATCCCCACCACACAACACTCATCTCCATCGCCAAGAGATACTGTTCCGCCATTTTCGATGGGAATCAGTTAACCAGTCTTTTCTATGGGTCATGTGTCTCGATGCACCACTGTCTGTTATCCACACGTCGTTTTTGTTTACCGCGAGTAACTCTCTCAGCTGCCTGCCATTCGGCATTTCGGATTCACCCGACTCGCGGCTCGCATTTCGCGATTTTTCGACGATAAACGCACAGTCCCGCGACTGATCACGATCACCGGATTCCCCACTCTTCTTGGTCGGGCACTCGTACGCGTAATGTCCGTTTTCGTTGCACTTGTAGCACTTAATGTTCTTTTTGTAATTTTTGTTCTTTTTCGGTTTCTCTCTTCTTTTATTGCGATTCACATTTTCGTCCTTCGCAGCCGAAAAGGCACTGTCATGGTTCTCATAGTCCGCGCCGTCGTTATGGCGCTATTAGTTATGTTGGCACGACTGTGTGCCCCCCGCTCTTGGCGCGCGGTCTAGAGTTAGTTACTTATGGAAATACACGCATCTCTCCACGCTGTATCCTCAATACACTAATATAATAGATATCAGCAGATTAATTATTCTCATCCTCTCTTCCGCTGTCCTGAACGTGACATGGCGCAGTCGGTAGGTTGAGTGTCTTCAAGAAATACGTTACACTGATAATTAATCTACTTACAAGCGAAGTAGAAAATACAAGCAAGAAATCCGCCATTACGCTACGCGATAACAAGTACGCGAGACAATGGAAGTGGCACTACAACCACCGCCAGCGTTGTTGTTTGAAGGAAATATCGCTGAGAAATGGAAAAGGTGGAAGCAGAAGCTTGAATTATATCTTGTGGCCACGGGATTAAATACGCAACCGGAGATAAGACAGGTAGCAGTTCTACTTCACACTATTGGTGAGGAGGCACTCGAGAAATTCAATACGTTTGGTCTCAGTGAGGAAGAGAAAAAGAAGCTGCCAATAGTTCTCGAAGCATTTGAACGGTATTGCACACCTAAAGCTAATGAGAGTGTGGACCGTCACATATTTTTCGCCCGAATGCAACAACCGGGCGAGACGTTCGATGTATTTCTCACGGATTTAAAAAAGCTAAGTATACCATGTGGCTTCGATTCGCTTCGAGACAGCTTAATCAAAGACCGTATCATCAGTGGCGTTAACGACGCCATTTTAAAAAATAGATTACTTCGCGAGGATGACCTCAATCTAGAGAGATGTATTAAAATCTGTAAAGCTGCAGAATTAGTACAGCAACAGATCAAGACACTGGCTACGGAAACAAAGGTACTTGCAGTCAACGCCAAGCAGAATACGGCACAGACAGGCGTGAACAAGCAGCAGGCGAATAAAAATAGACGACCTGGAAGAAAGAACAACCACGCTAGGAAAGCACTACCATCTCCCTCAACGCAGGATGCGAATACAGGCCAACAGATGACTACTAAGACGTGCTACAGATGCGGTACCAAACATCCTCTACATCAGTGTCCAGCATATCGTAAAACGTGCGCTAAATGTAAAAAATTAAATCACTTCGCTAAGGTATGTAAGTCCGTTAACAATAATGTAAAAAGCATAGAGCAGGTAGAGCAAGATGCATCACAAGCTGAATTTGTAGAACAATTTTTCATTGGGTGTATCGATGCTAAGCGTAATCACGATTGGTCAGAAAAGTTATTAATAAATAATAGTAAAACCTTAGTGGTGAAATTAGATTCAGGAGCACAATGTAATGTACTACCACTTAAAATTTTTGATGAATTAGAACTTTCTCGTAGCATTGTACAGAAATCAAACGCAAAATTAACGACATATGGCGGCAATCCGATTACAGTAGTTGGTAAATGTTGCATTAAATGTACAACTTCTAAGAATGTGATTACTCTAATCGAATTTGAAGTGGTAGATGCAATAGCTCCTGCAGCATTAGGACTACCTACTCTTTCAAAACTGAATTTATTAAAAAGAGTTGAGACAGTTAATGTTACTAATTGCAATATAAAACAATTTGTACAAGGATCGGGATGCATTTCTAATTATGAATATGATATTAAACTAAAACATAATACAGGTCACATAGAGCCATGCAGAAGAGTTCCTCTTAGACTTAGAGACAAACTGCAGAAAGAACTCCAAAAAATGGAAGACGAAGGAATTGTCGAGAAAGTACAAGAACCAACTGATTGGGTAAATGCTCTTGTTGTAGTAACTAAAAAAGACGGAAGTCTTAGAGTTTGTTTAGATCCGCACCATCTAAATCAAGCTATTCAAAGAGAATATCACTATATTCCAACGTTTGAAGATTTATGTTCAAAGATGGCGGGATCACGCGTATTTAGTACACTGGATGCAGACAGAGCATTTTGGCAAATTAAATTAACAGAAAAAAGCTCTAAACTTACAACTTTTAATACGCCTTATGGCAGATACAAATTCCTGCGACTTCCATATGGAATTTCTTCTGCCCCTGAGGTATTTCATAGATGCTTCCAAGACATTTTTTCAAATATTGAAGGAGTGGAAGTATATCTAGACGATATAATAGTACATGGTAAGGATGAAACAGAGCACAACAAACGACTTATGGAGGTACTTAATCGAGCTCAACTACGAGGTGTCAAATTGAATCTTAATAAATGTAAAATAGGTCTATCTAGAATTAATATATGGGTCACATTTTTTCGAGCGAAGGTATTAGCCCAGATCCAAATAAGGTAACCGCTATTTTATCTATGAAACAACCGACACATGTTAAGGAACTGGAAACGTTTTTAGGCATGCTTACATATCTAGGGAGATTCATTCCAAACTTATCACAAAAATCTACTAAGCTAAGAAATCTTACTAAAAGAAATACTGTCTGGTTGTGGGATCAAAACGCTGAGCAGGCATTTAATGATCTTAAAAACAGTCTGAGTACAGCACCAGTTCTACAATTTTTCGATTCACGTAAACCAGTAGTTGTTAGTGTAGACGCCTCTCAGTCGGGTCTTGGTGCAGTTCTCCTTCAAAACAATTTACCAGTTGAGTATGCATCACGTTCATTAAATGATACACAACAAAATTATGCACAGATTGAAAAAGAGGCTCTAGCAATTGCATTTGCCTGTAAACGTTTCCACTATTATATTTATGGTCGACAAGTTGTCGTCGAAAGTGATCATAAACCACTAGAAGCGATATTTGCGAAACCTCTGAATAAGTGTCCGGCTAGGCTTCAAAGAATTAGGTTAATGTTACAACCTTATGACATTAGAGTACAATATAAACCGGGAAAAGAATTATATTTAGCCGATGCGTTATCACGATCATACTTGACAGATGAAAGCTCGCTCTTAGATGAGGAAATAGAGGCACAAGTGTGTATGATTAGAGACAATCTACCCATTAGCGATCCGCAATATAAACGTTTTATACATGAAACATTACACGATGCTAATTTACAATTGCTTAGACAATATATAGAGAATGGGTGGCCTATTAACAAACATTCAATTCCAGATTCCATTAGAGTGTACGCGACATTCAAGGATGAACTGTCCATAATAGATAATCTCATTTATAAAGGTATACGGTTAGTGGTTCCCTCAAGTCTTAGACAGGAGATGCTAAAGAGAATACATTATAATCACCTGGGCATAGAAAAATGTAAGTCACGTGCTAGAGAAATATTATTTTGGCCCGGTATGTCTAAGCAGATTACTGATATTATACAAAATTGTGAGACTTGTTTACGGTACCAAAGAGCTCAGAAGAAAGAGACATTTGTAAACAAAGACATTCCTCAAGGTCCGTGGCAAGTCATAGGCGTAGATTTGTTCTACTATGCTGGCTGTGAGTATCTACTGGCAGTGGATTACTTTAGTAAATATGCAGAGATGGCGAAACTTAGTGACTCCTCTAGCAGCACAGTTATCACACATCTTAAATCGATGTTCGCGAGGTTTGGCATACCTAACATAATATACTCGGACAACGGTCCGCAGTTTAAAAATTCGTATTTTCGAGAGTTCTCATCCAAATGGAATTTTGAACATAAAACGTCAAGCCCTAGATACCCACAGTCGAATGGTTTAGTGGAACGATTCGTCGGTACAGTCAAGCAGATGTTAAAAAAGTGTGGAAATGATGGGAAGGATATATACTTGGCATTACTTGAATACAGGAATACTCCTATAAGCGATAAAATTCCTTCACCAACAGAATTAATGTTTGGTAGAAAAACTAGAAGTATATTACCCACCATGTTAAAAGATTCTTGTGAACAGACCAGACAATTGCTTGAGGAACGACGAAGCGTTCAGAGGAAATACTATAATAGATCCGCTAAAGATCTAAGTTCTCCGAAATTAGGCGATCAGGTTTTAGTGAGAAAAGATATGTGTTCTCCACTACAACCTGCTCAAGTCATTGACACTTGTGATAGGCCGAGATCTTTTAAGATAGCTATGCAAGATGGCTCGACAGTGGAAAGAAATCGCAGACACATATACAAAGCTCCGCGTACTCTGAAACCACTGCTTTGTACTTCGGAATTAGAGGACTATATGCCCCCTACATTTGACTGTAATACATCCAATAAAGTCGATGATTCGAACGCGGGATCTCATATAGAACAGAATTCGAACAACAGTCCTGAAACTAAGCGAACGGTTGAAAAGGCTGACAACTCTCCGACCCCACTTCGTACTCGTTCGTCTAGACTTGTCAAGCCTCCGTCATATCTTAAAGATTATGTCACTCATTAATAATTATTAGCCGCGATATTTATTATCTCTTATTCAAAATATGTTTTGTACGTTTATTTTAGTTGACTATCCTTAGTCAGGACTTTCTCGTTTTGTTATATATATAAAAAAAAAAAAGGATGTCATGGTTCTCATAGTCCGCGCCGTCGTTATGGCGCTGTTAGTTATGTTGGCACGACTGTGTGCCCCCCACTCTTGGCGCGCGGTCTAGAGTTAGTTACTTATGGAAATACACGCATCTCTCCACGCTGTATCCTCAATACACTAATATAATAGATATCAGCAGATTAATTATTCTCATCCTCTCTTCCGCTGTCCTGAACGTGACACGCACTGTCTCCATCCTCACTCAGACCCAATCTGGCTTCTTCACGAATCAGCCTTTCTTGCAGATTCTCTAGAGTTTGCCGCTTCGGCTCGACGCTGTCCCAGGCCGTTTGCAGCGTGCTACATTTTGGTGACAGGCTTCCCAAAATCTTGGCTATCACAGTCAAATTCGTTACGTGTTCTCCCACGTCCTCGATTTGGGCAGCTAAATTCCGAATTTTAGCAATATGCTGTATGACTAAGTCGCTCGGCGCCATTCGATATTCGTAGAATTTCTGCATCAGCAATAGTTTATTCGCCGAGGACCTTTGTTCGTGGATTTGGCACAGATTATCCCACATCTCCTTCGCGGATTCGCACACTAGCAGCGGCTCAAGCTGAGCCGGCTCCAGCGCCGATGAGATAATAAACATCGCCTTGGCGTTATCACGCGCCCACTGCCTCGCCTCCTCCGTCGTCCGATCGTCCGGCACAGGACGTGTCCCGTTAACGATCCCGTCGATCTCATTAGCCATAATTAAAGCGTTAATCTGAAATTTCCAACCTTGGAAATTCGTCCCGTCAAACTTCTTAACGTGCCGTGCTGAGATGTCCTGAGACATTTTTGATGCAAATCACTCGCGTTCCGCTACTCGCAGCACAAGGTCCGACCGCGCCAAAAATTATGGCTACCGCCCGCGCCACGTGTTCACGACCTCTCTTCTCACTCACTATTAGACACGCAGTAATACGTGATCTGGGCCCATAACCTGATAGACCTTTACTGGTATTATATATTATTGAAGGTACAGAATCAGAGAACCAAATTTCCCTCTATATGAACTCGTGTATTTCAGAATAAGGATTACAGTATATACGAGACACGTTTTACCTCGTTGCATTCGCACGACACGACAAAGTTGCCATAACCGGCCCACGACCACAGCGCCGAGACAGGGACAACAGTGGATCGGCGAAGAGAGAGGGGGCACATCAAATAAGCGCGAAAACCATTTTGGTTTAAATACAACACTCCCACCGTTTGAGTGCTTATAGAGAAATCATTTTTATCAGATTACACAGTCTTTTAAATCGGTCTTTTGGAATCGCTTTGGTGAATATGTCAGCGATTTGATTTTCCGTGGGTACATAGAGAATATTTATTATATTATCTTGGACTTTCTCGCGTAGAAAATGATACCGGATGTCGATATGTTTTGTTCTCTGGTGAAATTCAGGATTTCTAGCAATTTTGATTGCGCTTTGGTTATCGACGTACAAGTTGGTTGGACGTTTACATTCATATCCGACATCGCGCATAAGTTGTCTTAACCATAGAATTTCTTTGGCGGCTGCCGCTGCAGCTACATATTCCGACTCGGTTGTACTCAACGTAACGAGTTTTTGTCGCTGCGATGACCATGTGATCAAACCGCCCGCTAATTGAAATGCATATCCTGTGGTTGACCGACGAGTTTCAGGATCACCCGCGAAATCCGCATCAGAGAATCCCACCAGACACAAATCGCTCCCACCGTTTCGATACTCAAGACCGTAGTCCAAGGTTCCGCGAAGATACCGAAATATTCTTTTTACCGCTTGCCAGTGCTGATCGTTATGACAGTTTGAATATCTACTTACGGCATTAATAGAAAAAGCTAGGTCCGGTCTAGTTAAAATAGCTAAAAACATTAATGACCCCACGGCTTCCCTATACGGTACATTCGACATTTCGTCATTTTTATTTCCGGGGATTAACAACGCGTGTGGGTCAGCAGGTACTGAAACACTGTTCGCGTCAGTCATTCGAAATTTTTCGACAATACGATTCGCGTAAGCTGATTGATGAATTTTTATCGACTTCGAGTCTCGATTGCGATCGATCTGTACGCCGGCGAAATATGTCCCGTTTCCAATCGTTATTCGGAATGTTTTCTTGAGTGTCTCTAGTAAAGTGTTCAAAACGCTTTCTGATTTTGCCGCTACAAGACCGTCGTCGACGAATAACGCAAGAAGTACGATTTCGCCCTCAAACACTCCCCGGAAGATACATTTTTCAGAAGCACTTGACTTTAAACCGAACTTGTCGAGAAAATTAACAAAAGTTTCGTTCCAACAGCGCGGCGCCTGTTTCAAGCCGTATAATGACTTGTTCAAACGACACAATTTTTCACCCTCGTCACGGCTGACCTTGAGTCCTTCTGGGAGGTCCATCATTACTTCCTCTTCTAGTTCTCCGTACAGGAAGGCAGTCTTCACATCAAATTGGACAAGGTTGAGATCCTCGTGAGCAACGATTGCCAGGAAAAAACGAAGTGAATCGTATCGAATCACTGGTGCAAACGTTTCGGAGTAATCCAGTCCGGGTTTCTGTTTAAAGCCTTTCGCGCACAGTCGCGCTTTATAACGACTGATCTTGCCATCTCCATCCAACTGGATTTTAAACACCCACTTCGAATCGATAGACCTCTGTTTGTCTTCCTTTGGTACAACAGTCCATGTCTTGTTGACTTCGTGTGCATAGAGTTCTTCTGCGATAGCATTTTTCCAGTGTTTTGAGTCTGGGCCTGATATCGCCTCTTCGTAGGTTTTTGGATCATCGTACTGAACAAAATTTAACTGAAGTCGATCGGGTTTCTGCAGTGTTTTTCGGTCGCGAAGCACTCTTTCAGAGGTTTGTGGCTCGATTTCTGTCACTGGTACGTTCCTTGGTTCCATTTCTTCCTGCAGTGGTTCGACTTTTTGCTGTACAGGCTCGTCTTGTGGCTCAGCTTGATCAATTTGGGCTTCTTGCTGATCTCGGTTGAAGAACAATGTATAATCATCCTCTGTTTCCTCGTTCACTGGATGAACGTCTTGAGGCATCTCGTTAAAGACTACATCTCTGGAGATACACACGGACTTCTTTATTGGGTCGTACAGCCGATAATTCGTTGATTCATCTTGATACCCGACAAGAAACATCCTCTTGGCTCTAGGGTCCAGTTTTGTACACAGCTGCTTGGGCACATGCACATATGCCGCTGATCCGAATATTTTGAGATGCCTTACACTCGGCTTTATTCCGGTCCAGAGCTCACACGGAGTCGTTTCGGGATTTTGAGTTGAAGTTGACCTATTCAGAACATACACCGCCGTGTTGACTGCCTCTGCCCAGAGAAATTTCGGTAACGATTTGGCCTCAAGCATCGTGCGTGCACTTTCCACGATTGTACGGTTGTCACGTTCAACTTTCCCGTTCTGTTGGGGAGTGTACGGCGCTGACTTTTCATGTTTTATTCCGTGCTCAGCCAGAAACTTCTGCATCTCCTGATTCAGGTACTCTTTGCCATTGTCAGTCTTCAGCGTTTTGATTTTTCGTCCATGAGTCGTATGAACCATCTTGGCATAATCCTTGAATCTGCTTACCACATCAGACTTGTGTCTGATAAAATGGACTGTTCTGAATCCAGTCGCATCATCCTTGAAGGATACAAAGAATTTTGTGCCTCCTAGAGACTCAACAGAAAATGGCCCACATACGTCTGAATGTATAAATTCACCAGGTTGGTTAACACGTGATGTTTGTTTTTCACTAAACTTTAGCCGATGTGATTTTCCAGACTGACAGGGTTCACAGAAGAAATCTTTCGACTTTGACACCTGAATTCCGTCCACGGAATTTTTCTCTATCATTTCCCGAAGCCTCTTGGTGTTTACATGACCGAGCCTTTCGTGCCAGGTTTGAAGACCAGCAGTTGTCCAATTTACTTCAGTTTCCGAATCCGTGATCTTGGTTTCAAAAAACATTCTATAGGTGTTGTTCCCTTGTTTTACACCTTCACCGATAATACTCTCATCACGGCTTAAAATTACACGATCATTTTCAAAGTGCACTCCAGTTCCTTTTGACGTTGCACATCCGACTGAGAATAAGTTTTTCCGAATGTCCGGCACATATAAGACATCTTCCATGCGTCCTTCCAGCCAGACGCCATTCACAAGTCGGTGTATTTTTATTGTTCCCGAACCGCACACTTTGCACTGCGTGTCGTCACCAAGCGAGATGCATTCGCCGTTTTCACTCGGTCGATAATTTTCAAACCAGTCAAATCGAAAAGTCACGTGACGCGACGCACCGCTATCGGTAAGCCACACATCGTCCACACTCCTCTGCATGAGTTTCTTAGTTTCTTCCGCGGACGGCGCTGTACCAACTTCTCTGTCATTGGAGAAAGGGATATGTTGCATATTCCCTATGTTTGTCACATTTCTGGCGCTCGCAACAAACGCCACATTCGCGTCATTTTGACTGCTGCTTTTCTTCTCACTTGACTTCTTCTTCTTTTTTGTACACTCGCGAGCGTAATGTCCAAGCTTCTTGCAGTAGAAGCATTCGACGTTCTTTTTGTCTTGTGGATTTGCCTTCTTCCGATCGTCGTGGCGTCCTTGTTTCGATTGGCCCTTCTTTGAGAGGGTCATCACAGCGAACGCACCTGCTACTTCATCATCGTTTGACATTCTTAGCTCTTCTTTCATGAGTCGCTCAGTCAACTTCTCGATACTTTGACTCTCTTCCGGAACACTGTCCCAGGCTGTTTTAAAAGCATTGAACTTCGTCGGTAAACTAGCAATAATTTTCGCCATTATCGACACGTTGGAAACATTTTCACCGAGGTCTCTAAGTTGCAGGGCCATATTTTGCACTTTCGAGA